AGATAATGGCTCAAGTACTTGGATCCCTGTCACCCACGTGGGAGACTGGGATGGAGCTCTGGGATCCTTGTTTTGGTTTGGTCCAGCCCAAGCTGTTGCAGGCATTTGGAGAGTGAACCAGTGGTTGGAAGATCCACAGTTCAAGTCCCAGTTGTTTCACTTCTAATCCAGCTCTATGCTAATGTGCCTGAGAAAGCAGTAGAGAATGGTCCAAGTGCTTGGGCCCTTGTATCCATATAGAAGATCCAGATGAAGCTCCTGGCTCTTGGCTTCAGCCTAGCCCAGGCTTGGCTGCTGTGGCCATTTGCGGAGTGAATCAGCAGATGGAAGAGCTCTGTCTCTCTCTTTCTCTCTCTGTAACTCTGCCTTTCAAATAAATAAAATAAATCTCTAAAAAAATTATTATATGGTGAAAATGAAACAGTAATAAGTTGGTTTTCCATACTCCACCAAAATAAAGTTATCATGGGACACCACAGAAATTTAATCCTTAAATATCAGTCCTAACAAAAAAAAGGGATAGTTCTATTTTAGGTGACACTTAAAACTTCTTACAGTTCTATGATTCTAACTCCTAATTTTAAGTGCCTGATTTTATATGATCTTTCTTTTTAAAAGATTTCATTATTATTTTAAAGGCAGAATGTGTGTGTGTGTGTGTGTGTGTGTGTATGTGTGAGACAGAGAGAGAGAGACAGAGAGAGAAGGAAAAGAAAGAGAAGGAGGGAGGGAAAGGGAAAGAGCAAGAGGGAGAGAAAAGAGAGGGAGGGAGAGGAAGGAGGGGGAGGGGGGAGAAGGGGAGAGGGGGAGAGAGAGAGAGAGAGAGAGAGAGAGAGAATCTTCCATCTACTGGTTGACTCCCCAAAATGCCCTCAATAGCTGAGGCTGTACCAGGCTGAAGCCAGGAGCCTGGAACTCCATTTGAGTCTCCCAAGTGTGTGACCAGGGTCTAAGTACTCAGGCCATCATGTGCTACCTTCCCAGGTACATTAGCAGAAAGCCGGATCCAAAGCAGAGTAGCTGGGATTCAAAACAACATTCCAATGCAGAATGCAGGCATCAGAAGAGGTGGCTTAATCCTCTGTGCCACAATGCTCACCCCGTCTCATCTCTAAACAAGTAGATAATACCAAGTATTAGTAAGCAGAGTGTTGGGTAGGAGTACAGAATAAGAAAAGTGCTGGACAAATCATATTTGAAATACAGTATTGTGTTCAGTTTAGGGGACTATATTTGAGAGCACTAAAAAACTGTACACCATATAGGAAAAATCAATCAAGGCATCTGGAATATAGAAACCCCAAGAAGAAAAACGATAACTGTAATTTAATACTTGAAGTACTCTGAGATGGATTTTATTCTTTAAGAGACAAAACTAAGATCATGAGTAAAAGTTATAGCATATACTGAAAAAAAGATGTAAATTTAAGTTTCTACATATGAAGCACTCTGAGAAAGTAATGAATTATCCAATAAGAGAAGTGTTTTAGCAGAAATAAGATGAACAACTATATAATAGAGCTAGAACAAAATAATTCTTTAAAGAGAGAAAGCCTGGATGAAATAATATTGTTTTAATGTTTAACTAAAAGCTTAAATTAAAACATATGGAAAACTTCATACACAAAAGCAGAAAAAATACTAAGTAATTCCGAACTTTAACATTTTCAACTCCTGGCCAATCTTGCTCTATCCATAACTCCTTACTTTACCTCATCTTTGGAGTATTTTGAGGCATATTCCAAATGTCAAATCATCTAATCCTTAAATATTTATGTTAAATAAACTTTTAAAACCCTTCCACTAGGGGCTGGTGCTGTGGTGTAGCGAGTTCGAGTCCCGCTGCTCCACTTCCAATCCAACTCTTTGCTATCACCTGGGAAAGCAGTGGAAGATGGTCCAAGTCACTGAGCCCCTGCACCCATGTGGGAGACCCTGAGGAAGCTCCTGGCTCCTGGCTTCTGATGGGTCCAGCTCCAGCTGTTGCAGCCACTAGGGAAGTAAACCAGTGGAAGGAGGTCCTCTCTTTATAGCTCTCTCTGCCTCAACCTCTCTGTAACTCTACCTCTCAAATAAATAATCTTTAAAAAAAAAAAAAAACTTCCACTAGAGGGGTGGGAATGTGGGTGGGTACGGTGGTTAGAATCACTACATTCCTAAAGTTGTATTTATGAAATGCATGAAGTTTGTATTCCTTAAATAAAAGATTTCTGGGAGGGAAAAAAAAACTTCCACTGCAGGGCTGTGTTATAGCACAGCAGGTAAAGCTTCTACCTGTGACACCAGCAGCCCATAAGGGTGCCAGTTCAAGACCCAGCTGCTTCACTTATAATCCAGCTCCCTGTTGATGTGCCTGGGAAAGCAGTGGAGGATAGCCCAAGTGCTTGGGCCCCTATACCTACATGGGAGACCCGTAAGAAGCTCCTGACTCCCTGACTCCTGGCTTCAGCCTGGTCCAATGAATGAAAGATCAATTCTCATTCTCATCTCTCTCTCTTCCTCTCTCTGTGTAACTCTTTCAAATAAATAAATAAATCTTAAAAAAAAAAAAAAAACCTTTGACCTCCAAGATTTTGTGTTTCTATGGCTCCAAGATACAAGAAAATGGAAAAGTCCACTAACATTCAGAAAGTTATGTTTTTCACTCAACCAGTTCTAGATCAACTAAAGGAGAGTTTCATTGTCTAGTTTCATAGTGACATCTAGTGGATAAAAACTGTAACAGACCTGGTAAAATTAAAAGAACCTACTATGTAGTTGTATATTCAAGTTTTCACAGACCCTAAATAATAGTCACTGAACTTTTTTCAGTAGTTCATTTTCATTCAAGGGGAAAACAAACAGAGTATAAAAACTTTTTTAAGTTTTCTTTTTTTCTTTCTTTATTTTTTGACAGGCAGAGTGGACAGTGAGAGAGAGAGACAGAGAGAAAGGTCTTCCTTTACCATTGGTTCACCCTCCAATGGCCCCCGCAGCCGGCGCACCGTGCTGATTCAAAGTCGGGAGCCAGGTGCCTTTCCTGGTCTCCCAGGGACTAGAACCCTGTGTGCCGGCACCGCAAGGCGGAGGATTAGCCTAGGGAGCCACAGCGCTCCCTAACTTTTAAAGCCTTTTATAACCTGATTTCCCCCAACCTATCCAATCATTCTTTTCTTTTTTTTTTTTTTTTTTTTTTTTTTTTGACAGGCAGAGTGGACAGTGAGAGAGAGAGAGACAGAGAGAAAGGTCTTCCTTTTGCTGTTGGTTCACCCTCCAATGGCTGCCGCGGCCAGTGCACCGCACTGATCCAATGGCAGGAGCCAGGTACTTCTCCTGGTCTCCCATAGGGGGCAGGGCCCAAGCACTTGGGCCATCCTCCACTGCACTCCCTGGCCACAGCAGAGAGCTGGCCTGGAAGAGGGGCAACCGGGACAGAATCCAGCGCCCCGACCGGGACTAGAACCCGGTGTGCCGGCTCCGCAAGGCGTCCAATCATTCTTTGATACTCTCTTACGAACTATCAATTTTAGAAAGGCTCTATCTATTACTTATTCTCTAATATATTAAATTCATTACAGATTTTAGGCTTTTAACCATTCTTATCTCAAAAATTCTCCTGAATTTACCAATTCAACTTACCAATTCAAACTATATAGGTTCAATTCCATCTCTCCCATGAATTCTTCCTCTACCCTTTCCTTGGAATTTTAAATTTCTGAACTCTCATAGCACAAGTTTATTGTGAAACACAGTAAATGTCTCTACATTATTATCTAGATTGTGTGTTTTTATTAGCTTTGTATCTCTACTTGGAAATATAAACCCACAGAGGGTTCTATTTAACATTTCATTAGAATCTCTACAATGCTTGACACATATATTCAGATATCTGCTGACTGATGAGTTCTACTCATCCTTATATAGAGGAAGTAAAATCCTCACTATGACGGGATTTTTTAGCTAGAAGCACCATGAAGGCAAAGACTGTGTCTGTATTAGTCAATGGTCTATCCATTCTACCTTTTGCAGTGTCTAGCTCAGTAAATATTTGCTAAACAAATTGTTCATCGTCTTAAAAAAAAATGATTGTTACAAACTGAATAATGACAAGAAAAAGTCAAGTTTTGAATAAAGAAAAAAATGTGCTGAAAGTATTTCAACATACTTCTAAAGCTTTCCCATTTACACTAACAGAACAGTGGAATTATGACCAACCACATTAGCTTAGGCATAACACAGCTTTTATTTCCACATACTCATCATTTCCCATGCTTCCTTTCTTCCTGTCACTATCCCTAAGAATATGTTTTTAAATAAGGTGAAGAAAATACCCAAGGAAGAGTTGCAGAATGTATTAACTCAACACTAGCTCCAGGAGTCTACAGAAGGAAATGACTGGATGAGGCAAGTGACTTGAATGGGTTAGTCTACTCACAGCAGTTAATTTTTAAATGTCTGGGTATAAAATTAGTGGACAGAAGTTACATTTTTCCAAAAACTCTGGAGATATTAAGTGTTTGCTATATCACTGCCTGATGTTTAATGGTAGATTCATCATTGTGGTAATCAGATTAAAAGAAAGTATTAAGAAAAAAAGAGATAAAGACAAATAATAAATGAAAGACCCCTTTATATGTACTGAAATTCTTTGCAACAAACGTAAGAATCACTTCTGTCTACACGCTACAAACTGATAATAACTTACCCCAAAAATAACTTCAGTATAATTGGGAAAATCCATTCTTCAATCTAAAGTACTTTCTAACAAATCCTGAATGTAATACTTCGGCACTTTTCTTTAGATGATTCTAAAATTATCTTACCCAAAAAATGCAAATTAAAATATACATACAAAAAAATTAAGCATTGTCTCACAACTCCCCACTTGAGAAAGGTAAAACAAGAGATGATGAAATGTGAGGTTGAATGTGACATCTCCTAATCCCTACTTCATATCATATTTTTAGTTTAGGAGATAAGGAAAATATCACAAACATAAAATCAAATGAATCTGTACTTACTGCCTGAGCTTGTTGTTGGAATAATTCATTCTCATTCTCACCATCTTCTATTCCATCCCCAAGCATCTGGGAACGAGGTAACCTAGGACTTCCAACAGCAGCATTCAACTTTTTAGGAAAAACACTTGTCCTTTTAGAAGTGAAGTGTGCTGTATTTGAAGACTGCATGGCTATACAGCCTTCTTTTTCTGCCTACATAAAGGAAGAAGAGGGGTGGAGGTGGGGGACCGAGAGTGAGATCCCTCTCTAAGTCAGTGCAATCAAACAATGCCTCCAAGTAGTCCAAAAAATTTTCACTTGGGGCAGGGGGGAAGCTTTCGCTGGCAGAGAAACTTATACTTACCAGGTATCTACTATGTGCTAATAGTTCAGGTTATCTCATCTAATTCTCACATAATCCTGTGAGACAAGTATCATATCTGCATTCCATAGATGAGGAAACTACAGTCAGAAAAGTTAAATAATTAGCCTGGAGTCACCTGGCTAATATATTCAAACTCAAATCTGAATCCAAATTCTGATATTATTTTTAACTATTTGATGAAAGCAAAAAAGTTAGAATAAATAAATAAAAATCCACTGCCCTAATAGCAATCAGATAACAGAAGGCATGGAATTTTTAAAAGTGATTGTTACTGCCTAACAGTTTATCTCAAAACACACATGCTTTCTACCCAGTCTGTACCCAGCCCCACTCTTGAACTTACTGCCTCATACGACTTCTGAAGCTGTTGCTTTTTTCTCAGCCTAATTTGTTGATTTACTCTGCATTTGACTTGTCTCTGAAAACGCTTCAAAGCTTCTTGCTTTTTTCTTTGCTGTTCCTTCAGTTCTTCTTCAATCATGCATGCTGAAGTCTTTCAAGAAGACAGATAGAAAACAAAATGTCAAGTTTTGCCCATTAGGGCTACTGTAAACACACAGCAGTAAAGAATACAATCCTGAAAAAAACAACAGAGTTCTATAATCTGAAATTCCCAGAAGAGTAAGGGAATCACAAGAGCTCAGAGACAATGATCTAGATACAGCTTGTAAGTACCAAAGAAACCAAGTTGCAAACTAAGAATTGAAATTTGTGAGCACTCAAATTAAATCTTAAATTTTTATACAATTGAAATTAACAGTATCTATATCCATTAATTCTTCTTCTTCTTTTTTTTTTTTTTTTTTTTTTGACAGGCAGAGTGGACAGTGAGAGAGAGAGACAGAGAGAAAGGTCTTCCTTTGCCGTTGGTTCACCCTCCAATGGCCCCTGCAGCCGGCGCGCTGCGGCCAGCGCACCGCACTGATCCGATGGCAGGAGCCAGGTACTTCTCCCGGTCTCCCATGGGGTGTAGGGCCCAAGCACTTGGGCCATCCTCCACTGCACTCCCTGGTCACAGCAGAGAGCTGGCCTGGAAGAGGGGCAACTGGGACAGTATCCGGTGCCCCGACCGGGACTAGAACCCGGTGTGCCAGCGCCGCAAGGCGGAGGATTAGCTAGTGAGCCGCAGCGCCGGCTCTATGTTCATTAATTCTTAATGAATCACTTCAAATCCACCTTATGTTACACATTTTCTAAAATGAGTAACAGCCCAGATACAACAGACTGGTTTATCACCCCACCAAATATGACTGACCTACTGTAAAAATGCATTCATGCTCAGAATTATATTTCATTTTTAACCCAGCATGCCCTTCCTCTCATCTCCATCTAGTAAAAAACCTACTCAGTGTTCAAAATCATCTAGTACTCCCCACCCCCAGAGCCTTCCACAACTCCTTCATCTGCACTCTCTTATATGGGTATAGTTCTTTTTAACTCCCCCAGTGGATTATGAACTCCATGAGGGCAGGTGAGGTGTATTTAATTCTCCTGTTTCCCTTAAAGCATATAGTACAGGGTCTTGACTATAAAAGTGCTCAATAGATATTTATATAATTTCTCAATTCTAAAACATATTCTAAACAACCTGGAGTATTTTGTTCCACTTAAGTTTTCCTGTTCTGCATTCAACTCCTCTGTGTGCTCTGAATAACAATCACAGTCTTGATAATAAGAAGTTATTATCACTATTGAAGATCTATTACATGACAAGCTCTTTACATTCTATCATTTTATCCTCAAACTACCTACAGTGACTTAGAATACAAATAAGGAACTAGAGTTCTGCTGGTTAGTAGCAGAGCTACAAGTCTCTCTGACTCTAATATTTATGTTTTATCCTGTACTGTTCTTCTCTTGCCTGCAAGTTTCCTTTTATAAGGAATTTTCTAATTAAACAAAATCATCATCATTATCTCCTACCTATTCTTTTTCTTAGGGTGCTTCAAATTATCTTAAAGGCTGTCATTAAATTCTCCATATTAAAATGGTTTAAATTTTTAGATTAAGTTTTCCAAGAAATAGATCCCATAAACTTTCTACAAGAGATGGACCACAGGAGTGAAGTGTATAATGCAAATGTCAAAGAACGATGAGGATAAAAAATTCCAAAGGAGAAAATAACTGACCCAGATTAACTCAAGCCCCTGACAAGTTTAAGCTATTTCGCCTCTTGCTCTTTCATTTTCTCTGTCTGTCCCTCTTTTATTCTCATGCTGAGATTTTCAAACATCTCATTGAAGTGTTCTCATCAATTGCAGACTGTGAAACTCAGTTTTAAACCACAGGTAAGAATGTTCCAGATTTTTAAAATATAGTTTTCTTATCAAATATCATTGTGCAAGGCAATCAGAACCCAAGACCTTTTATTCAGTGGGATATGATAAGGTTCCCAAAGTCAAACAAATTTGGGAAATATTGGAATAAGTAAGGTTAAATATTGTCTTGATTGTATAACTAACTTCTTTTTTACATCCTAAGGACTATCTAGGGAATGAAGTGTTTCTCACAACAATCAAATAACACATTTGGATAATTCACATATGATGAAAGGAATGCTTAGATTACGCAGCACTTCTCCAAAGACACTCTCTCCCCTCATTTCAACGAATCAAGTTTCCTGGCATTTATGCTCTTGTGTAGTCCTTTCCCATACTGATTTTTGTCTGATTCTGCATATTTAAAAGATCAAGGCTGAAGTGCTGGTTCTTTAGTTGCCAAAGCAAGGTCATAAAGCAAGTTCTACCTGGGGCTGCTGGGAGTACTTGTTCTAGGAGAAGTCAGGACCACATAAGAATTCTGACCACCTGGAGTCTACAGAGCTATTAGGCCAACTCAGCCATGTCGAAACAGAAAAATGCCCAGTCAGTCCATAGTCATTCTAGTGATCTCAGTCCAAGTGCCAGACATGTGAGTGAAAAAGCCATTTTAGACACTGCAGTCTACCAGGTGTCACATGAAGAAGAACCAAGGAATTCAACCAACAGCCAGAATCCAGTTAAGCTGTTCTAGACATATCCAGCTATTGGATCTGTGCCCACAGAGGCCTCCAATACTACGGAGCAGAGATAATCCCCCCCGCCCCCCACACACACAGTACCCTGCTCAAATTCCTGACACATCATTATTTGCTTTATGCCACTAAGTCCTGGGGTGCTTTATTACATCGCAAAAGATAATCAGGAAAATGTATAAAATAATAACAGCCATATATGATGGTAGAACAACACTGTCTTCAGGTGCCAACTTAATTATTGAGAAGGGGTGTTTGAAGCTATGATATCTTTAGGAATTCTCATAACCCCCTGAAGCTTTGAGGAGAAAATGAGTAGGAGTCTCCCTTTAGAACAGATATGATCTTAGGTAACCATGTCTTAGGAGAAGTGAGCATCTATCCTGAGTTGACAAAGCTACATCTGTTAATAAGGGTAGTCACATATTAGATATGGTAAAGCCATAAAGCATCTACTAGATGCTTGATCAAATTCCTTTTGGCTTGAAATTATCAGAAGTTTCTAAACAAAGAAAATGAGACATGTTACACATATTTGAATTAATATAGTGAAATGTAAGATTCAACCCTTTTATAACAAGAAAAGCTAAACAGTGTCAAATTTTAGATATTTTGATGCTACTAGCATTATAAAGATGTCATAATTTGAGCAATTAAAAAAGGTAGTGGGGGGGGGCAGCGCTGTGGCACAGTGGGTAGTCCCCGCTGCTCCTCTTCCGATCTAGCTCTCTGCTATGGCCTGGGAAAGCAGTGGAAGATGACCCACATACTTGAGCCCCTGCACTCACATGGGAGACCCAGAAGAAGCTCCTGGCTCCTGGCTTTGGATCAGCACAGCTCTGGCCGTTGCGGCCACCTGGGGAGTGAATTAGCAGATGGAAGACCTCTCTCTTTGTAACTCTGTCTTTCAAATAAATTAAATTAAATTTTAAAAAAAAAGGTATTGGGGTCGGCACTGTGGCAGAGCAGGCAAAGTGGCTGCCTGCAGTGCTGGCATCCCATATGGGTGCTGGTTTGAGTCACAGCTGCTCCACTAACAATCCAGCTCTCTGCTATAGCCTGGGAAAGCAGTAGAAGATGGCCCAAGTTTTTGGACCCCTGCACCCCCGTGGGAGACCTGGATGAAGCTCCTAGCTTCTGGCTTCAGGTCGGCCCAGCTCCGGCCATTGCAGCCATTTGAGAAGTGAACCAGCGGATGAAAGACCTCTTTTCTCTCTTTGCTTCTCTCTTTCTCTCTCTCTCTCACTCTCACTCTCTCTTTCTCTTTTTCTCTCTGCCTCTCTGTAACTCTGCCTTTCAAATAAATAAATAAATCTTTAAAAAAAAAAAAGTGTCAATAACTTAAGAAGCAAAATACCAGTGCATCAAATCTTACTGATTGTTTTGGAATGTTTCTTGGCACTTATCCTTTTCATTCCCACTTTAGCCACTGTTTTCTTTCTTTCTTTCTTTTTCTTTTTTTTTTTTTTTTTTTTTTTTGACAGGCAGAGTGGACAGTGAGAGAGAGAGACAGAGAGAAAGGTCTTCCTTTGCCGTTGGTTCACCCTCCAATGGCCACACAGCCAGTGCGCTGCGGCTGGCGCACCGCGCTGATCCAAAGGCAGGAGCCAGGTGCTTCTCCTGGTCTCCCATGCGGGTGCAGGGCCCAAGCACTTGGGCCATCGTCCACTGCACTCCTGGGCCACAGCAGAGAGCTGGCCTGGAAGAGGGGCAACCGAGACAGAATCCAGAGCCCCTAAGGGGACTAGAACCGGTGTGCTGGCGCTGCAAGGCGGAGGATTAGCCTAGTGAGCCGCGGCACCGGCCCTAGCCACTGTTTTCTTAGTTTTTTCCTCCCCATTCCTTGCCAACAAAGAAGTTTTGATACTATAATTCATGCCTAAATTATCATAATCATATCCTAACTTGTCCTCCATGATCCAGTCCCCCTCTAAACCCAGAAAACTTTGGTCATGAAATTCATCTGTAAATATTACAATGAATAAACTCAATCCTTTTTCCAAAATTGTGTATAGTCCTACAGTACCCTACTTCCACTCCAAACAATCTAATCCACCCTTAGAATCCTTGCCTACTTCTTACCCCTCCCCATTTTTTTTTTTTTTTTTTTTTTGACAGGCAGAGTGGACAGTGAGAGAGAGAGACAGAGAGAAAGGTCTTCCTTTGCCGTTGGTTCACCCTCCAATGGCATACAGCCGAAGCCAGGAGCCAGGTACTTATCCTTGTCGCTCCCCCTCTTCATGGAGGAACGACACTAAACCCTGCCTAGGCTTCATATCCGAGTCACGGCACCATTATGTCGCTCCCCCTCTTCGTGGAGGAACGACACAGGACCCTGCGCTGTTCTTTTGTCTGCTCGGCCCTCCCCGGGTTTGCTGCTGGTTCTTCCCGGGTTGGCTACCGACCCTCCACCTCCGTGGAAGGGCGGTTCCCCCTGCCACTTTCCCCACTTCTGCGGGGGAGCGGCACACCGCCGGCCGGCTCTCTCGGGGGCTGCTCAGGTGTTCCTTCAGATAGATGTTCCTGGTGCATGTTGTCTCTCTCCTCCTTTATAGTCCTCTTCCACCAATCCCAATTCTGCTACCCACACGCCGAGTACGCTGCTCTCCTCCAATCAGGAGCAGGTCCTGCTGCTTAATGGTTGAACTGGAGGCAGCTGTGTAGAAGCTGTTTCCTCCTCTCCCAGCGCCATATTGTGGGAGAGCAGATGCATAGAATAAGTCTTAATTCCAGTAACAGTCTAGTCCGAGTTGCTCCCCACAATCCTGGTCTCCCATGGGGTGCAGGGCCCAAGCACTTGGGCCATCCTCCACTGCACTCCCTGGCCACAGTAGAGAGCTGGCCTGGAAGAGGGGCAACCGGGACAGAATCCGGCACCCTGACCAGGACTAGAACCCGGTGTGCCGGCGCCACCGGCGGAGGATTAGCCTAGTGAGCCGCGGCGCTGGCCCCCATTCTTCTTATAGAAGAATCATCTCCTTCTCCTCTGATTACCCAAATATTTCATTAAACTTTTGTGAGTTGCATCAAACCAAAATCATCTATTTCTTTTTTGATCAAGCATCATATTTTCAGCACTTCCTTATATACTTTTAAGACGCTTAAAATCCTTTCTGGAAATAGGCAGGGTAGGAGTAAACCAATGAACATATATGTACATACATACAAACATAACTAAAATGAATGAATATTCTGCATTGTTATTTAACATTTAAACATGTCTCATTTCTCCTATATCAACTACATGTACTTTTGCACCCATGTTCGGTACCCTGTCTGTATACGCAAAAGACCTTCACACATTTTATGCCTTCTAAATTTACTGACTGCCTCTATTTATCAGGCCATGTTTATTTAAGAGAAAAGCAGGGGTGTAATGATAAATAAGATTCGTTCCCTACACTCAAGGTGTTCACAGTCTATCAGGAAAAGTAGATATATAAGTCACCTCCCATAATATAAGATGGTAAGTGCCACAATAAAATGTGAGGAGTGAAAGACTGTCAAAATATCTCCATGTGACTAATTGGTCTATGAGAATCATCATGTAAACATATGCATGTTAACTTTCCAAAAGGTTCCCTTTATCTAAGATGCTCCTCCCCAACATCTGTACTTATTGCATTATCATTCTTTAAGGACCCCCACAGACCATGGGAGAGGTCTTCAAAAAGCTCATACAAAATTCATACCCTCAAACAACTGTGCATAGATTTCAAACAATTTTTATACCAAAATAAACTTCATTTTAATTCTATTTTTCTACAAACTTTTGGAAGTACCGTCATATTTCCTCATTTACTCATTCAATAAACACTCCAAAAAGATCTACCATATGCCAACCCACATCCCACATCGATGATGATCTGTATGTATAGTAGATAAGTAATAAACATGTGATTATGCCAGCTAAAGCTGCCACCCCACGTTTTGGCAAATACATGTTTGTTTTATAATCCTTACACAAGAACACATTTATTTATAACTGTACAGAAGCAGCACCCGCAGATGTCTACCTTTATCTAAACGCCAAGGATTAAAGAAGGCTAATAATTGGGAGAGGTTGACACTCACATAGGCTGGGATTTCGGAACTATCTGGTGAAGCAGGTTCCACCCAGGCCCCAACTGGTACTATGGTCTGGTTCCTCTCAGCCAGCACAGCCAGCACGTCCTTGCTCTTCTGGGGGTTTAAGGCCAGGGGCAACCTTGTGGAATTTGGAGGCTTCTTGAGGGGCGCCATGCCTCCTGGCATCTGGGACTCCTAATTAGAAGGGAAGCGGGTGGGAGGAGCTTAAAAATCTTCAAAAGCGAAGCAGCCCTGGTGGAAGCAGAAGCCTAGCAAGGAGTGGAAAAACAAGGGTTCTAGGGAAAGCGGGAAGAGGAAGGAAAGAAGACAAGTGGCGAGAAACGGAGGGCAGGAAACGTTTTAAAATCCCTTTCTGGAAGGAAAGACGATGATAGGAGAAAGCAGCTCAGACTAAGCGAATTGAGACTCATGCCCAGTAGCGGGAACAGTGAAGTGGAAAAGGGACGAATGACAGTAGCGGCCGGAGGAAGAGGGGGTAAACCTGGGGGAAGTGGGAGTCCCGGGCCAGATGGGAGATTGCTTCTGAGGCACCGGAGGCTCACTCTTGCTGATGGCACCGCACAGGTATCGGTCAGCTGCTAGCCACAGGCTCAAAACTGCTCCAGTACTAAGGTAACAGCCTCAAGTAAACCGCCACTCTCCGCTGGGCGGTGCGGCCCCCGCCTCTCTGCAGCCTTCGACCCGCCCCTTCCGGGCCCCAAGTCGAATCCCGAGGTCTGGCAAGGCGGGAGGGGCGGGATTGCAGGCTCCAGTGGTTTCGTCACTTCCGCTTCCTGTCGGACTGTGGGGCGGGAACAAGCGGGGTCAGTGAGGGCTGCGGGACCGTGGTCGAGCTCGAATGCTGCTGGCTGATCGTGGCTCTGTCAACGCTGGGACAATCCCAGATCTCCCAATAAAAGACATATGTTGGGCTGGTGAGCAGAACGACAGGACGGGCCGGAGGTCCTTCTTGAGTGAAGCACGGAAAAAGGATGAAAGGAAGGTGGGCGCAACAGGGCTTCCGAGAGAAACAGACTAAGCCAACAATAAACCGTACTAATCTTCTGTGCGACTCATTACGTTTACAACACTGTGTGGGAAGTATTGACATATTGGATATTCAAGGACGGTTTCTTTGAGGTACTTTTAAACAGGTCTTACATGGAACAAGCCACCGTAATCTTCAAGGGAGTATTTTACAAGAGTATTCCAGGTAGCAGGAACAGCAAGTACAAATGCCCCCAGGTGGTTGAGAAACAGCAAGGAGACTGGTGTGACTAGCAGATTGAGAGGGGAAGAGTGTTGAGACCAGAAATCAAAAGTTAGGGAGTGGTCAGTCATATATGCAGCATTGTATGCCACCATAAGGTGTTGAGATAGGGAACCATTGTAGGTTTTGAGCAAAGGAATGCCGTAATGTGACTTAAAGACAGGCTTTTAAAAAAAAAGTCTAAAGCTAACCCCACAGTATTTTTTTTTTTAAGATTTATTTATTTATTTATTTATTTGAAAGAGTTACACAGAGAGAAGAGGCAGAGAGAGAGGTCTTCCATCCACTGGTTCATTCTCCAACTGGCTGCAACAGCTGGAGCTGCGCTGATCCAAAGCCAGGAGCTTCCTCTGGGTCTTCCCACGTGGGTGCAGCAGCCCAAGGACTTGGGACATCCTCCGCTGCTTTCCCAGGCCATAGTAGAGAGCTGGATTGGAAGTGGAGCAGCAGGGACTCCAATCGGCACCCATATGGGATGTGGTGCTGCAGGCGATGGCCTCACCCACTACACCACAGCACCAGTCCCACAGTGTATTCTAATCGTAGTCTGAGAACAAGAGGAGAAGAATGCAAAGAAATTGGGAAGGATCAGTCAGTAACCTAAAGAAGAAAACCAGGAGTACATAATACCTTGAAAGACATGTTTTTTAAAAAAGGATGATCCAATGAAGACAGACCCATGTTAAAATCCTGCTGACAGGTCAAATAAGATGAATGCTGAAAATTGACTTGGATTTGACAATGTGAAAGTAGTTCATAATTTTTATAACGAGCACGTCTGGAGCAATTAGCAAAACCTGTTGGGGGTATACTTACAGTAGAAGGAATTGGAGACCATAATTTTAGCAACTCTTTCAATGAGTTTTATTGTAAAGGGAGATAAGGAAATGGGTGACTGAAAGGAGACTTTAAATTTCACAGCAAGGAGCTGGCATTGCAGCACAGCAGGGTTAAGCTGACACTGCTACCAGGTCCCATGACTGGAGTAATGGTTTGAGATTCAGTTTGGGCTGCCCTGTTTCTTTTTTATTTGAGAGGCAGTGTCACCGTCAGGAAAAGGAAGAGAGAAGAGGGGTCCTCCATCCACTGATTCACTCCCTAAATGGCTGCAATGGCCAGAGCTGGACCAGTCTGAAGCCAGAAGCTTCCTTCAGGTCTCCCACATGGGTGCAGGGGCCAAGCACTGGTGCCATCCTCCACTGCCCTCCCAGGCCACAGCAAAGAGCTGGATCAGAAGTAGAGCAGCCAGCACATGAACCGGCACCCATATGAGATACCGGTGCTGCAGGCGAAGGTCACAGCACCAGCCCCTGGGCTGCTCTGTTTCAATCCAGCTCCCTGCCAATGTACCTGGGAAGACAGTAAAAGATGGCCCAGTACCTTGGCCCCTACAACCCAGGTAGGAAACCAAGATGGAGTTCCTGGCTTTCTCCTGGCTCAGCCCTGGCCATAGCCAACAATTTGAAGGAGTAAACCAATAGATCTCTCTCTCTTCCCACCCTCCCCCACCTCACCCTCTTCTCCCATCTCCCCTCTCCATTTATGCTTAGGGGAGTCATGCCTGTCATGAGCAATCATGGAGAGAGGTCCATATGGCAAGGAACTAAAGCCTACTGACAAGAGTGAGGCTGGAAGTAGATCCCCAGCCCTAGTTTAATCTCGAGAGACTACTCTTGGCCAACAATTTAAGTGCAGCCTTATAAGGAACTCTGAGCCAGATCACCCAACCAGAAATTGTGTGAGATCATATTTGTTATTTCTGACATTTTCCACAAGGCTGGTACCTTATTTGGCCAGAATAATTCTCTCAATAGGAAAGCTGTTTGTTTAGAAATGTCTATCTGCTTCAGAAACAAAAGAAATGGGGCTACCAGTACCAGAGGGTTGAGGCCCTGTTCCAGAATACTCCTTATCCTTTTTCTGGGGTGAGGAGGGGAGGAGGGAGAATGGGTCGCTGGCCCTGTCTGCACAAAACCACAAGTCTCTGGTCTTTGAAAACAACCTATCCCACACAAAACTTGGTCTTTTTGTTTTGTTTTGTTTTTTAACGATTTGTTTGTATTTATTTGAAAGACAGAGTTACAGAGAAATAAAGACAAAAAGAAAGATCTTCCATACACTAGTTCATGCTCCAAATGGCTTCAATGGCTGGAGCTGAGCTGATCCAAAGCCAGGAGCCAGGAGCTTCTTCCAGGTCTCCCAAGTTAGTTCAAGGACCCAAGGTCTTGAGCCGTCCTCTGCTGCTGTCCCAGGTATGTTAGCAGGGAGCTGGATTGGAAGTGGAGCAACCAGGACTTGAACTGGCACCCACATGGGATGCCAGCGCTGTAGGCCACTGCAGGCCGCTGCCACAGCACCGACCCAAAACTGATTGCTTTATAAGCACCAGAGAGCAATTTGCTCTTTATTCACTATTTCTATTTGTAACTGCTGACACCTGTGACAAAGTTAAGTTTTTTTTTTTTTGGGCACATGTCAGTTCTCAGGGCCTGTCCTAAGGAGAATCTCCATGGAAATGGAAAGTATGCTCTCAAGGGGACAGTATGTTGGGAACTCAACCTCAAGCAGTTGGATCATAATCCCTTGCATCCCTCAAGTTTGAGCAAGATTTTCCAAGACTAACCAATGTCCCAGGCTGTTTCCTAGAAGTGGACTATGGCACTATCCTTTGTTCTTCCTCCTCCTCACCCACCTCTCAAAATAACCTAGCTAGAATAACTAAAGGGGGTCCTTCTGCTTGCCTGTGCAGACCAGGTTTTTGCAGTAGCATTTCACCAAAAATGGCACCAATAGCAGATTGCTCCACTCAAGCCCAGTTTTCTCAATAGCATCTGCTACATTACTTTTGCAGAAGAGCCTCTAATTTTATACTAGTCACAGAAGTCTTTTTCTCCTCCTGTGTGTGTGATTAAAAAAAAAAAAATAATAACAGGGGTCTCAGCATCTCTCCGTATTACCAAATGTTCATCTACATGCACAGGACATTTGTCCAGGTTGTTCTTCGAAGAAGGATTTATTACCTAAGCTCTTGTGGGTACTGTAGTTCCTTCAGCTGCCGACTCCTTAAAGTTCAGGGAGCTGCTTCTGAGGAGCAACCACAAGCAGTGAATGACGCATATGATGATGTAAAGGCCTGACCATTTCGGCTTTACTTGGAACAATTCTAATGGCCATGATTTTGGCCTCAGAGAACCCTGGTGACTGGCTGAGACTGTCAGGCCTGCATCACAACTCAGCTCTTCCCTTTGTCCATTCCTTCTTCCTGTTCCTCCCTTCCACACCTGTCAATCCGAAGTGCATTCCCTCATAAATATCCTGAACATGAAACCCTGTCTCAAAGTCCATTACCTAGAGAACTCCGCTATGATCTCTTCTGAGTGGTGCTCAGCCTCAGAGGCTAAGGCACTGAGAATTTAAGGCCATATAACTCCTAGGAGTGAAATCCATGGACTCCTAATCATTATTCTTTTTATTTCCATCAAAGAAACCTGCAAAACTTCAAGGAGATGTTCCAACCAAGTTTTACCTGTTCCCCGTTGACACTGTTGAGCTTCTGGTTTAAACTAATGCTCAGGGCTACACCCAATCTCTAGATTTGCTGAATCAAATGCACTCCAGAAAGTTCATGGAAAATGAGATTTTAAAAATAAATTTATTTGGGGCCAGTGCTGTGGCGCAGTGGGTTAAAGCCCTGGCTTGAAGTGCCAGCATCCTATATGGGCTCCTGTTCTAGTCCTGGCTGCTCCTCTTCTGATCCAGCTCTCTGTTATGACCTGGGATAGCAGAAAATGGCCCGAGTCCTTGGGCCTCTGCACCCACGTGGGAGACCCAGAAGAAGCTCCTGGCTTCGGACTGGCACAGCTTTGGCCATTGCAGCCATCTGGGGAGTGAACCATCAGATGGAAGACCTCTCTCTCTTTCTCTACCTCTCTCTATAACTCTTTCAAATAAATTTTTTAAAAATCTTAAAAATAAATAAATAAATTTATTTTAGTGCAAAATTCTTTTTGAAATCCACATATAATTTGTCATATGCATGCATTTTTCTATGAATTTTTTTGGAAAACCTTTATATACATAAGCCTATAAGGCTCTTTGTTATTTTTATTTTTTTAATTTTTTATTTTTTACAGGCAGAGTTAGACAGTGAGAGAGAGAGACAGAGAGAAAGGTCTTCCTTTTCCGTTGGTTCATCCCCAAAATGGCTGCTACGGCCGGCACACTGCGGCTGGTGCACTGTGGCTGGTGCGCTGCGCTGATCTGAAACCAGGAGCCAGGTGTTTCTCCTGGTCTCCCATGCGGGTGCAGGGCCCAAGGACCTGGGCCATCCTCCACTGCCTTCCTGGGCCACAGCAGAGAGCTGGACTGGAAGAGGAGCAACTGGGACAGAATCCAGCACCCCAACTGGGACTAGAACCTGGGGTGCCGGCGCCGCAGGTGGAGGATTAGCC